TAATACTTTAAATTACTGCCTTCCTATAAAATAAGACTACTTAGTAGATCTGCTGGCTCTCTGTATGTTTATTTTAGTAACTGAATTAAGGTTCATTAATGTCTGGTTCTGTGAGCTGGTACAGGAGCCCACTCCATTCTGTTCCTTCCTGTGCTGCAAAGAGTTGTTTGAGGATTTTTCTGTCATTTTTTCCCCCATGTTGGCCAATTGATTGCAGTGATATTACACTGGATGGGCAGAAAGCAAAATCTAGTCAGTCCAGACTGTGAGAGGAAGGGAAGTACTTTACATTCAGATATGGAAGCCAGTTCACAATGACTGCATTAATTTTTTTCTGAGTATTTCAGAGGGAAAAAAAATAATTACTATGGAAAATCAAGAATGCTAAAAACTAAGGAAAAAAAAACACGGGAAAAAAAACCTTAAGGAGTGATAAATAAATATGATTACCACACACTCCTGGTACATTTTTCTCCTGGGGCATCTCTAAGAACAGTTGAATAATGTATCTATCTTATCTTTAAATATAGCCAGTATAGATGGCCCTTAGGCCATGCTTTCAAAATGACAATTCTTTATAAAAATGCTGTTACTAGAATTAAATATGCTGCCAGGCTGTTCATCGCCCCATACTGCAGCGTAAGACCAGGAGACAAGAAAGTAAGTTTTGATAAATGTTTTGATGCTGCTGTCCTGTAACCTCAATCATCTTCTCCTTTTGTTTGCTTGCAGAATGTGTATGCTTTGTTAATGCACATCTTTTCTGTTCCCTAAAAGCGAATCAGATTTGTCAGAGCAAAACTGCTGTATGTGCAGTCAAAAAAACCCAATTTCTGTATCTGTAATCCCCTCTTTTGTTTTCTCTTACTACATTGGTTACTGTAAAAGCTGGATAGCTGGTGGATTAATAAAAAGAAACAAGAATGGAAACATGTTGGGTTTGGCAGTATGTTTTTGTAAACAAGTGACCTAAATTGAAGTAGAAATTCTAATAGGAAAAAGGAAGAGAACCAGAAGACTTGAAAATACAGCACAGAGCAGGGTCCCCACCAGATGGTATTTTTAATAAATTTATCAAGCGGATATAAAAAATGATAATGAACATTCAAAATAGGGAGTGGCAGACCCCCTTAGAGAGAAGGAACAGTATGGAACCTTCTGCACACTGCAATTAGTTAGAATCACTTTCTAATTAACCGTTGTAGGGAAGACCATAGAATTATATTAAAAACACACTAAGGCAGTTTCTGTGTGGTTGTTAAAGAGTTTGACTAATCGGTGTAAACCTTCTTAGGAGGTCACGGATTAGTGCAGAAATCTAAATGTGAGAAGGTGTAGGATGATGCTCAGAGGGCACAGAGGTAAAATATTGGATGAACTGAGCTGTACTGCTTTCAATTAATGCCTTACATAGCTCAGAGGCTGTCCGGAATATGCCACAGAACCTCAATGTGTACATTGATTTTGACACTTGATCTTTCATTTGTTTTTTTTAACCAAGATTTTGGTAGCTTCCTCTTCCTACAAAAAGCAGCAATATATAGAAGATGCTTCGGTGCCTATATAAAATGGATACTCACAGAAGTTCCCTTACTCCCAGGAAAGAGGGGAAGGAAAGGAAGCCAAGGCAAACCTTATTTCAGTGCCAGTACTCTTAGTTTGCATTGTTAGTCTTTGCTTTGTTTAGATTGTTCCCAGTGAAGTACTTCTAAAGTCTACCACCTGCTCCCCTGTAAGACTCTGGGAATTTCTGAATGTCTCTTTTCAGTAATAGGGAATCAAGAGGTTTCTAGAATAATTATATGGTGGATCTAGTCATTTTTAATGAGCAAACAGAGATGATAGCACATTTAATAGCGCAGTAGATTTTTCAGAAACTGTTGTTTTTCCAGTGCTTGGATTATTACTTGGCAACAAGCTTGCACTTTTTTCTCCTGTGTGTTTCATGGTGTTTTGATTTTCTTAAGATAATGCTCCTGACACACTAGTACACTTAAAACACAGAATCCTACTTCTTCATGGAAAATTATCTCTTTTCTTGGGTGCTGGAGGCTCTTACAATTAGCTCTGAAATTTCACATAGCTATATTTCAGCCATTTTCAGATATTGTAGTATATTAAATACATATTTTACAGACAATTATTAAAAGTATGTAATTAAGTTATCGGTATGCAGTGGGCTTAAAATGATACATTTGCATCTGTACTTTACATTGTTTTCTCATGAATATTCAAATATTGTCAGTTTTACCTCTTCTGTATTTCTGATTTTATGTGTGTGCCATTCTTGTTTTCCTTTGTTCTTTTTCTGATTTTCAAAAGTGTTTAGTATGAGATATAGTGAATTTGGAAATTTTGTTAAATTGATCATTGTCATTCAGATAATTTTTGATAAAATTTTTCTTACTCTCTTTTAAATTACATTACCACACAGATTGGTTGTGCTTTATCAGAGGTTGACACACAAAATCTTAGCTTTTTTTTTTTTAACACAGCCTGTGCTGAAAGAATTTGTGTTACCATTTAGATAAAAATATCAGTACTTTTTAACATTTTCTCAAAAAACCCAAGATCTCAACAGGCAACCTTGATTTTTACATGTTCAGAGAGCACCATTTTTCAGCCTTTTTAATATTAGTTTTTTGATTGAGGGAAAGAATAGAGAGAGTTTGAAAAGTTGAGGAGGTTAGGTAAAAACGGAGCTTTTCAGGAAAGTGCTGGACCTGACTAGATCATCTTATATAGTCTTTTTTTTTTTTTTTTAAATGTTCATCTGTCATTTTGATGGAAGGTGACTTTCAAAAAGCTTGGGATTCTCTCTGAATTACAAACAGAAAGGAAGTACCATACTTGATTAAGTGTTAACAAAGGGAAATAATGGGTGATTTCAAAAATAATTGTTGAAGCACTTGTAAAACAGTGCTGGAAAAATACTCCATGCACAAGAAAATACACCTCCTTACAGTGTGCTCCCACAGGAGCTGTTCTTGTCTTGATCTTTGATGAAATTGCTGAAATTACGTCAGTTCCTAACTATAGTATGAATTGTTTGATTTGAAAGGAAGGGGGAAGCTACTTAGCATTGGATTTAAATCAGATTTAAGCAGGACTAAGTATGCACAAGAAGAGCATTCCTCTCCTTGGAAAGTTTTCTAGAAACCAACACTAAAGTTATGTACTTTGCTAAAGAATAGGAACTCCCAACACTACACTTCTTTTTATTGCCAAGTATGTAATGTTCCCCTGCTTCTAAAAATGTATTATCCTTCGTCTAATTTGGTTTATAACAGCAGTTCCCAAGCTAGAGTGTTCAGTTTTGGATGTACAAGGAGAAGGAAGAACTGAAGTTAGATGATGCTGACACGTGGACTATGGTGTTGGATATGTTCACTGATCGCAAGAGAGGTTGTAGAGGTGAAGGAGAGTTTGTTATAGATGTTGCAGCACAAGGTAGCAGTTTAGCATTGGCCTATGCAATTAGAATTGTAGTCTTACATGTTTTTACTGAAACTCCCTTCCTTTTGTCATGATTTTCCCAAAATGCTTTTACTAATTTGAAAATTCTTTGAGTTCCCTAACTTGCTCATTTTCCCTGTAATATTCAACTAGCTGCATATAAGGTTAGTGAAAGAAGGCAAATTTGATATTCTGCAGTAATACCTTTGACTTTCTTTGGCTTAGCAGGCTACTGCATGCTGGCATTTTTTATGGCTGCATATGGGATAGAAAAAAGAATTATCCAGCAAAGGTTCTTGATGAAATTAACATGGCGGGGAGGGGAAGTACTGTGTAAGTCCATCAGTGTCTCCTGGAGGAAAATCATTGTCCTGGGTATTGGCCTTCCTTTTTTCAAGAGGATGAGGTTCTAAGTAGTTTCTTTCCTTTTGCTATTGGGACATTATAATTTCTTTTTTGTGGTATTCAGTCGTACCTTTTTCCTTTCTCTTGACTGGATGAGAAATACTTCTGCGCCCACTGTTCCATTTGTGTAGCAAACTTAGTGGTCTCTTCTTCCCTTTCGTAGTCTGATACTTTTATTGAAGGATCTTGTAAGTATTAAAAAGCAATTTCATTTTCTAAATTGTGGGGTGCAATTTCTGATAAAGTCAGAGAGGCTGGCAGAAGTACCAACAGGTATGTGTTAAGAATAGTCTCCTGAGCTGTGAGACTTCAAGCTCTGGTTTTGAAGACTTAAAGTCCTGATTTCTTACAGTCCAGATCACTGCTTTAAACTATGTCCCACTTACTTTTTCTCTTTATCTTTTATTTTCTTCTTTTTTTTTTTTTTTTTTTTCCAAACAATTGGTAAAAAACCTCTTTTTTTTTGGAAATGTCTTTAAAAACATCTCATGTCGGGGGGATGAGAAATACTTCTGCGCCCACTGTTCCATTTGTGTAGCAAACTTAGTGGTCTCTTCTTCCCTTTCGTAGTCTGATACTTTTATTGAAGGATCTTGTAAGTATTAAAAAGCAATTTCATTTTCTAAATTGTGGGGTGCAATTTCTGATAAAGTCAGAGAGGCTGGCAGAAGTACCAACAGGTATGTGTTAAGAATAGTCTCCTGAGCTGTGAGACTTCAAGCTCTGGTTTTGAAGACTTAAAGTCCTGATTTCTTACAGTCCAGATCACTGCTTTAAACTATGTCCCACTTACTTTTTCTCTTTATCTTTTATTTTCTTTTTTTTTTTTTTTTTTTTTTGGGTGGGGGTAGAGAGGGGGAGAGGAGAGAGGTTTCATCATGAAAACAGGAAGAAATTGTTTGAAAATTTCAAAAGTTTTGCTGGACAAGATTTTTTTTTTCCCAGTTGTATTAAGAGTGCTTTTGGATAAACATTATTCACTTGATTCTGCTTTGTAGTTCATGTTAAATGAGAGTTAATTTCCTTGTTTATCATACTTTCATCCTTTTTTTTTTTCCAAATTTTTCCCAATTCTTTGCCAGAAGTAAAGACCATTGGTATCTGACTGTGTCTTTCATCTTTGTGTTTTTAATTCACAGTTCCCACTGAAAACATTGCAACAATTGCAGATTGTGCCAGTGTGATTGAAGGTGTAAGTCGCAGTCGCAATGCCTTGTTGAATGGAGACACAAAAAACTACGACTGGGATTCTGGGTACACGTGCCATCAGCTCGGGAGCGGAGCTATTGTAGTACAGCTAGCACAGCCCTACATGATTGGATCCATTCGGTAAGATGGTTTCTTCTGTAATTTAAGAGCAACAGCGGAACTTTTGGTGAGCACAGTTATTTTCTTTAGAATATATGATATTTGGAAACAGTGGTAATTAAGGGGCTGGTTTAGTAGTTGTCATTTGGCTTCTTCAGTGTAATGGGCATGTTAAAAATTAAATGTGTAAATTATATGTCGAGATAACAGCAGTGCGATTCTAGAAGAATATTACATTTCAGAGGCATAATAGTAATAATAGTCAAATTGTAAGATTAATGGTATATACTTACATTAAAGTAGAAATTTAACTGCAGCCTCACATATGGTTGAAGTGGGTACATTTCCTCATATGCACGTCATTGTGGAAACAGAAATATTTGTGAAGAAAGGCATCTGGCATCCAGATCTGGATTTAAGTTCATTGGGCTATTTCTACAGTGAATCTCTGTATACATACGAAAAGCAAACTTTTGTCTAATGTAGAAACTTTGGAAATAGATTGGAGAGTGGGATTGTTCACAGGTAAAGACCAAAATATTCTTGCCAGCTTCAGATTGACTGTAGATCTCTTTTTTTGTTTGTTTGTTTCTTTTATGAAATTGGACATACAAAACCTTGTCTTAATGACTTCCCATTCTTTGTAAATTTAGAGTCTGTTGTCAGGGACTTAACTTGTATTCTCTGTGACAATGAATAAAAAAAAAAAAAAAGATAGATTTCTGAAGTTAGAGCACCAGTGAGCAAAGACTTGAAACCCAGGTTAGGTAGTAGGAACTTGCTCGTGCCATCTGCCGGTTAGAGTTGCCTCGTCAAACTGACTGACGAGCAAGTGAGACTCAAAAGCTCTTTTGTAACTGCCAATTTCTGTTGTGTGTTTTGGTTTGTGGCATTGTTATGATGGTTATAACTCTTTGAAGATGAAGTTTAAAATCAGACATCCAGGCACATATCTAACCTAATAAGAGTACTGTTTTGTCTGTATACAAGCTATAGATGCTATGCATAATGCAAGTCCAGCTGTGTTCTCACTGTGCGAAACAACTTGAGTAAGGATAGTTGGCGGCTTTCCACACTCCATGTTTTATGCTTCTGAGTTTGGTGTTTTTAATGTTCAGTTAAGTATTGCATCTCAAGTAGAAAATCAGGAAGACACAGTACTTGGATTTCTTAAAAGAGGTAATTGAAAATGTAATTACATCATTTTCATGCCACTTTAAACTTAAATTTAAGTAGCAGCAGAAGCTTTGGCCGTGTAAAGAAGAGAAGAACATATTAACTAAAAGCATAGTTCCTCAGTTTATAGCTTTGTCTTCCTATCTTACTGTCCTCTGCTATGTTTCAATTGGAGAATCACACCAATTTTCAAGTTGGTGCAAAGCATTGACTTTCCTATATCAAATACTATGCTAGAGTTTATTTTTGAGCAGATTAATTTTAATAAGTCTTTTTTTTTTTTTTTTTTTTTTTATTAAATAGTGCTAGGTGAACTAGACCGTTTGGTTGCCAAGAAATGATAGTTGTATAATCAGCAAGTGTGTAGAGCAGATTAAAAAAAAAACAAAACAAACCACCCAAATATTACATAATTTAAAACTAATAAGCACTTAATGATTTATGTGGTATTGCATTGTACAGATTATAGGGTCAGAATCTCAACTTTCATTGTCAGCTTTCCTGCATGTATAGTACAAACAAGATGAACAGCTTGCCTTAAAAGAAAACAATAATAAACATCATCTTCTAGGGTATCTTCTGACAGAGGAGACTACCTGCATTGCCTAGAGACAAAAATGCTAGCACTATGTCATCGTTCCTTTTCGTGTTCTGTCTAGAAGAACAAGTGTTTTGAGTTGCAGCCGTGTCTGTTGCAGATAATAACCAGCCAAGGAAAAGATGCCCCTTTGAGTGGGGAACTGAGGTTTCACTATGTAGCAGCTGCAGCTTTGGCAAGCAATAGTCTAGAACGTGTCCTGTACTGTGCAATGCTAAAAATGGGGACAATGGTCTCTTTATTTAGCACCAGGAAATCTGAGTGGTACAGAAATCAAATTACATATAAACATAGATTATAGCAAAAACTCTTAGTATTTCATCTTAATGAAAGCAAGAGACTTTTTTGAACAGAAAGTCTTCCACAACTGATTGAACTATATTAATTGCCTGATTTCCTGCGGTTTGCTTGCTTGAAAACTCCCTTGATCTCACCCTCCCACATAACAGAAAAAAGATTTCCAGGAGTATTTTCTTTAGTCTGGTTGTACACCATGACTGCAGAACGACATTGCTCTAACCCCAGAAACTGAGTCATTAGACCTGTGGGTTTGGATTCTAAATTAATAATTAGGAATTAAAGTACATATCTTTTAAGTTCAGAGACATGAATATGCCATTGAATATATTTGTATCAGAGAGAGTAAATACAAGAGCCTTTGAAAAAAGGGCAGTAGCTGCTTTTAGTCTATAGAAATCAGAATATTGCTGGAGAGAGCCTCCAAGTTGGAATGTGTTACCATGGCAACTAAATTCTGAGTATGAAAAAAGCAGAACTTCTCTTGATACTCAAATATGCATTAGAAATGCATAGAAAGCTTTATGTTTCAGGAGTCTTATCTTGCCTGCATGCTTTCTGCAAAAATCATTCCATTGTCTTAGAGTTCTTAGAACCATTCAGGTTGGAAGGGACATCTAGCCCAGCCTGTTCCTTAAAGGAGGGTCAGCTATGAAGAAAGGCCATCCTACTTAAGGCTTTATTCAGTCAGGCTTTGAGAACCTCCAAGGAAGGAAATTCTATCTAGAACATTGTCTTTTCTTTTTTCCATTTTGCATCTTGGTAAAGAGCCTGGCTCAGTCTTTTTGATGTCCTTGGGTATTGAAAAGTGCTGTTTGGTTCCTCCCTGACCCCAAGCCTTCTTAGCCTAAACAACCCAATTTTCTCAGCCTCTTGCACCGTGTGTGTGCTCCAGCCTCCCTCCCATCTTGATGATCCTCTACTGGACTTCCTCAGATCTGTCAATGCTGTATTTGGGTCCAATGTAGGATGCAGTATGCTGAGTGTGATCCAACAAGTGTCGAGTAAAGGGAAGTAATCTGTTTCCCTTGTTCTGCTGGCTCAGTTCATGTTGCCACAGCTCCATGTGCTGCTCGCCCTTGTTACTGAATCACAGAATCACAGAATTGTAGTGGTTGGAAGGGACCTCAGAGATCATCGAGTCCAACCACAAAAAAACAAAAAAAACCCAAAAAAACCAAACAAAAAAAAAAACAACAAACAAACAAAAAAACACAACAACACACAACAACAACAGCTCTCACCACCTAAACACACAACAACAACCTCCAAACCAAAAAAACCATCACCCACCCACACAACACCCCACCACAAACCAGTAATCTTGGGTACTAGAGCATGCCCTGAAGAACCATGTCTACACGTTTCTTAAATACCTCCAGGGATGGTGACTCCACCACCTCCCTGGGCAGCCCATTCCAATGCTGGATAACCCTTTCAGTAAAGAAATGTTTCCTAATATCCAACCTGAACTTCCCCTGGCGCAACTTGAAGCCGTTACCCCTTGTCCTATCATCTGTAACTTGGGAGAAGAGACCGACCCCCGTCTCTCTACAGCCTCCTTTCAGGTACTTGTACGGAGCGGTAAGGTCTCCCCTCAGTCTCCTCTTCCCCAGACTGAACAACCCCAGTTCCCTCAGCCTCTCCTCGTAAGACTTGTGCTCCAGACCCCTCACCAGCTTCGTTGCCCTTCTCTGGACCTGTTCCAGCACCTCAATGTCCCTCTTGTGGTAGGGGGCCCAAAACTGGACACAGTACTCGAGGTGGGGCCTCACCAGTGCCGAGTACAGGGGGACGATCACCTCTCGGGCTCTACTCGCCACACTGTTCCTGATACAGGCCAGGATGCTGTTGGCCTTCTTGGCCACCTGGGCACACTGCTGGCTCATGTTCAGCCGACAGTCGACCAACACCCCCAGGTCCTTTTCTGCCAGGCAGCTCTCCAGCCACTCTTCCCCCAGCCTGTAGCGCTGCTTGGGGTTGTTGTGACCGAAGTGCAGGACCCGGCACTTGGCCTTGTTAAACCTCATCCCGTTGGTCTCGGCCCATCGATACTGAGAAGGCACACAGGTGACTAATGGCATCTTCTGGTCAGTATGACTCCCATGTCCTTTTTAGCACAGCAAGTCAGACTTGTAGCATTTACTACTGCAGTGGATTAGTCTGTATGAGGTACAGTATTTTGCTTTTGGTCTTGTTGAATTTCATGAGATTTTTTTTTCCCCGTGTCCTTAGTCTTCCCAGAGGCTGGCAATCAGTCCTTCTGAATGGCAGCCTACGCTCGAGTGTATCGATTGCACCCCACAGTGTGCTGTCATCCACAAGCTTGATGAGGGCTCAGTCATCTCCTTGTCCAGGTCGTTGATAAAGATATTAAACAGGATAGGTCCCAGAGCAGACTGAAGGAACTCGACTTGCATACAGTCTCTGGGTGGATGACAAGCCGTTAACCACTACCTGTTGAATGAAGCAGTCTGGCCAATTCTTACCCATGTTGTAATCTACCCATCTAAACTGTAACATCCCAACTTAGAAACAAGGGTGCTATCAGAGACCATGTTGAAACCTTGGCAATATCAAATACTTCTTCAGGCATTTGTATATAAATGTGGAACACTTTGAATTCGACATCAAAATTTATTCAGAAATTCTGAGACAGATGTAAGGATAGTCTGTGCTCAATAGTATTTTCTACTAGAAAACATTTTATTTTAAAATAGTTTTAACTAAATATTGCCCTTTAGATTATAGAAATTAAAACGTTTTTTTTAATTACAAGGTTTATTCTTTTATTAAGACTCCTACATGGAGCGACTTACAAGGTACCTGGAATAGTTAACAGAGAAAATATGTTACTTTAGGTGGTTTTTCCACATTGTTGCCTGTCTGGACAGACAATAACCTTGCTATTTTTCCTCTCTGAAAAGCCCTTATCAATGACAGAAAAACTATTATATTTAACTAGGAACAGAAAGGCAGCAATTGATATGTTTACCATAGTAAACATAATTTAACTTTTAAATAGCTAAAACTTTAATATTGAAAAGACTGACATAAAATATTAGCTCTCTGTCTAACTTTCCCTGCATTTATCTGAAATAGAAATATAATGCTATTATGCTACAGTCCTTGGCTGATAACTTCATAGTTAGGTTTTTTCCCTATGAATTTCCAAAAAAGAAAGAAAACCAAAAAAAGAACAGGATTTGTTGTAGTGTATGTGGTGGAGGGAAGCAAAATTCTTTTGTGCCATAGTGAGTTTCATGTTAAAATAAATAGAAATATTTTGCTTCTTTGTAAAAGTAGATTAACCACTTACCCCAGTTTAATCTATTTGAAGACTTTATTCCTAATATGAATAGGTGATAGCCAGCTGTTTTGCTTTTCGTATTCAGAGTAATTCTTAAATTAACAAACAGTATCAATTAGCTTTAATGTGGTTTTTGTTTGCTTATACCACCATCATAAGCATCTCTTATGTTTTCTAATTTTCCATACCACTTCTGCTTATGAAGGTTTTCTTTCTTTGCTGTTCATTTTCTGGGCTTGCCTAACTTGAGAATGAAATCATAACTCAGAATAAATGATCACATAAGCACACAGCAAATACGTAGGAATTTTGTCTCCTTTGTAGGATCCTGAAGAAAGATTGGTTTCTTGCAAGATAACTACTGAAATATATGTAGAAAATGAAAGGTCATTTAGACAACCAGAGGCAAAAATGCAAAGACAATTGTATAAAAATACTCTTTCCATACAGTTTTGGGTTTTCCCCACCTGTCAACAAGTGTCACTACCTCATGTTTTAATTTCTGTCTTTGGGGTTTCTATTAAGTATGCAAGTAGTTTCTCAACACAGGACTGTCAGTTACAACGTACATGGTAACCACTGACTTTGTAGTATTCAGGAAGCGGGTATCATCCTGGCAGATGCACAACTATTATTGTTTGGTGTTCTGTTAACAGATTGAGTAGATGTAGTTATAATGCAGGCTGAACTAAACAGTGACAATCTCTTTTTCAGAAATCTAGGAATAAAAGCAAGCAGAGACAGTACAAAATGCTTGTATAAATGCAGAACAATCAATCATAGGGAAACACATGACATTTAGGGAAGTACTGTTAAAAAAAGTACTGCAGCGTCTTTTGATGTAACACATAGCTGATATCATCAGGTTCCCAAAACTGGAAGGTGAAATTTTATTTATATTTGAGAAGCTTTTATTTTATAAAATGAGGCATTTTCAACATGTGGTGTAAACAACGCTACCCTATTAAATGATTAATTGGCTTAGACTTTAGCTATCCAAAGAAGTGGCATATGAGAAATAAGTTGAAATCTCACAATGTTGCAGGGATTGGGCCGCATAAAATTTCATTTCCCTTTTCCTTCTTAATCCTGAGGGTAAGATTTACAAACAGGAGCTAATTTAGCTTTTTATTCTAATATGGAAAATCCTAGGAGCGTGGGCAATTTTGCTATAAACAGATGCATTGCCAATGAGTATACTTCTGATTTTTTAAGTGGAGTATTCTTCTTCCTGTCATTTAATGTCCTTCTTAGCAAAACACAGCTTCTCTACAAAAGTTTAGCCTGGTAGTTTGCCTGGAATGTGTTTCAAAGATTACTGTACCTGGCATAAAAAGTGGCCTTTGTGCCCAGTGTATACTGTTGAATATTCATATAATGACCTGAAAGTTTTTTACTGCTTATCCAGAAAGGCAGAATAAATTCCAGTAAATTCTGTCATCAGTTTCCCTCCCCAACCTCTCCTGAAACAGCTACTGCAGGAAGGAGAAGAAAGAACTTACTTTTTTTCACAAGTCCCAAAGAAACAAAAATTTACATTTAGCATTCATGCTAAGTCACTTTGGGAAAGACTCTGCTAACTTTAATTCAGTCATTGTTTAGTTTGTAATAATTCCAAGCCATATGCTTTTTAAAACCTATTTAACTTTGGCTAGGTTGCTTTGGGAGACAGCAATTACACACAGTCTTAAAAGGAATACATATGTCCTGTTAGCCTTTTGCTCTAAAGTTGAGCCAGTTGTGTTTTAATCACAGTATTGTTAGTTGAAATTACAGTCACCAGTCTGCTTCTGATATTGAAACTCTTGATCATAGCTTTGAAAACACAGATCAAGGGAACAACACTGAGCCCCCACGATGAAAAGGATCCTATTGAAAAACATAATTAGCAACATTTTAATAACCTTTTAAAAGGAAAAGAAATTTACATATGTTTTTGCTTTTCCCTCTTTTTATTATTTAGAAGACTTGGTTTAAATATAGGTGTTAAATTGATTCAGGATCTGTTGATTATTAGTAGTTACCAAATCCAGGATTTTAATCCATAAACTTCTTTCTGTTTTTTTTTTTTAACCAAAAAAAATGCATTTAATTCAGTTTCTTCAGTATTTTGAGACCTTCAAGACATATAAAAGCAGAATGTGGAGGATCTGATGAAGCAGGGGGAGAGGGTTTGGAGTTGGGTGGTTTTGTTTTGGGGTGTGGGGTTTTTTTAATTCTTTCATCATGCCACAGGCAACTATTTTTATATTTTAATAAGTCAGGTCTGATTTTTTTCTACTTTGCAAATAATCAGTATTAATATGTGCTAAAAAGCTTCTGATAAAAGTTTTATTTTAGCTTCTTAAAGCTATTTTGATAGCTTATTCTTTTTGATAATATTAATGAACTGGTTTCAGTTGAGAGCATCTAGGGAGTTTATTTTAAATCTGCTTGTCCAGACCCAATTCTGCTCGAATGCGGGGTTTCCAAAGCGGGAAATAAAGAGCTAAACCAGATTGTTTTGAAAAGAAAGTAATAGCACTGTTTTTTTAGGGCAAAGATACAGACACATGTGTCCTTAATAACCAAATTCTGAAGACAGTCTGTCTTCTTCTTGGGACAGCATCTCTCTGTAAGAAGAAGGATTCTGCATTCAGCACCTGGCTAGGTCATTTTTGCCCTCTAGCAGTATTGTTTTTTTAAATGTTAAAAGCGAGCAATAATTTTTGCAGTTATATTCCTTCCAGCAGAGGTAATAGCTGAAAGCAAAAAAAAACTTTCTGAACTCGAAGAAAGGAATTTATAATATAAAACTTGGGCACTCTTCTGAAAGATGATTAAAGAGAGACAGCTTGAAGTTCTGTGCTTGGGAAAGTCTGTAGTGTGGCACAGGTTCCTTTTCTTTTTATGTATGTCTCAGCTATTTTCATTGACAATCAATGGATTCTTATATATTGCGCTTTGAAAAATGTGGATCTGTGGAAGTTCTTCCTCGCAGCTGGAGAAAGAACTTGGGTTAGCTGAATTACCTGGCTTTCACAATTCTCTGGACATGTCGCTGTACTGATTCTCATAGAAAAGAATATTTCAGTTGGAGGAGACCTACAACAATCATGTAGGTCATCATTGCAGCTACAGCTGTTTTGGGTAGCTAACTGTGCTTTGGTTATTTGACTGCAGCAGGTTTATTTACTTCTGTAACAAGTAGTCAGATTTAAGCAGTAATCCTAGTAAGCATTAGCTAACTTTGACAAGAAACTGAGGGTCAAGAGACAGCAGCAGTTCGTAACAATATATTGCAGCAGAGTATTTGTTTTCCATCGGTGTACTGAGTAAATGTTCAGAGAATAAGACAAAAACAAGATCAGCAAAACATAATTTTCTGTGACAGAAATAACGTGGATTGTTCACTTAAAATATTGCTGTTCAAAAATCACCTCCAGTCACCTTGAACTCAGTAGAAAAGATTTTTGAAGTTTTGGTTTTGATATTCCATTTCCCATTGAGTTTATATGAAAACAGTAGCATCAGCGGTTAATTTTTCTAAACTGTGTCCTGCTAATCAGTGGAATGACACCTGCCAATGGTTTTATGTAAAATGTAGGCAAATCCGCATCTATTAATTGAAATATGGACAGCATTTAACTGCTTCTAAAGAAGAAATTGCAGGAGTGTCTGCCTCTGTTCTGGTCAGTCCGTTGCCCCTTTAATTTGTGTAAATACCCTCTTGTATTTGTGGATGCCTCATTGGAAAAAAAGGATGCTCCATATTGGTTCACAAACATGCTGGAAACATTTTGTGTGTGTGTGTTTTTGCTAACAAAGGCATTCTGTGCTGGTTATTTTTTTAAGCACACATATCTCAGCCCCATCCAATGAAAGGGAGAGAAGAAGAGCGACAAGGTTCTTGGCTGTGGTTAATATGAATCCTTAAAAATAAAATTAAATTGAGGAATGATGTCGAGATTTCAAATATCTCTTACAACAGGAAGATAATCCTCATATAAAAAGAAGGAGTAGAAAGGATACAACGTTTGCTAGATGTTTTTTGAGAATGAGTGCGGAATTTTTCTCTTATCTCTTTTTAGCAATTTGGTCGGCAATTCAGTGCCTTTTTCCTCATATTATGATGAACTAGAACTAGTAATTCCCTTTTTCCTACTTCCTTTTAAAAAAAATACTTCTGATATATTTACCAAAAAAAAAAAAAATAATACAGCTAAGAAGACAGTACAATCTTTTTAGTTACCAGAATCTTTTTTCTTTCCCATCTTAGACTGACCTTTCCAAACAGAGCTTTGATTCAGGTTTAAAGCAGGCAATGCCACATGCCAAATATATTAGTTCATTTATGGACTTTCAAATAAATTAAAAGTAATTGGACAAGCATCATAGATTAATGTTAGTAAGGTGGTTATTGTAAGTCAGTAAGTCTATTTCTGACCTAGGATAATAAGAGTAGAGACTCTCATGTTTGAGATGACAGAAACGGTAAAGATCTTGGTCAGCGTTAGAGGCACATTCCAAAAGAAACAGTTAAATTTAAAAACGATTAAGAGGAGGAAATGAAGGACTGAAAAACTTAATCAGCTTGGTTTAATGTTTATTTTACTTATTGATCAACAACTTCTTCATACTTAGGTTGCTACTTTGGGACTGCGATGACCGGAGCTACAGTTACTACATTGAGGTTTCAACGAATCAGCAGCAGTGGACTATGGTGGCTGATCGCACAAAAATTTCCTGCAAGTGAGTTTATTTTCTTCCACTTATTTGCACAGTCAGAACTGGAAAACTTTTTTTAAATCCTTTTGTTCAGTACTTACATGGGTAACTTCTTGACTGTGAAAAGAATGGTCATTACATAACCTGTGGATTACTAACTCTAGACCATTGTAAATGCAACTTTAGAAGGTAACAGATTCTAATGTGACTGTCTAGACTTTCAAACCAGAATCAAGTTCTGAAGATCCACATCGGTACTGGATCTTGAAACAATTAGTTTGATTGTTCATTCTCAGAAGCAGCCTGCCTACCATACCCTCGGTTTTGTGATCGCAGGAAGTTAAACCCTGTTTCTCTAGAGTTCATGTGTTTATTGTGACTCTGATGTCAAATCACCCCTCCTTGAGAAACAAGGTCGGAGAGGAAAGAGAGTATGCTTAATCAAATGCATTTTACCCTTATCAAATCACATAAAAGCATTGCATGGTATTTGAAGGGGATGGGGAGAGTGAGAGTGGGACCAAACCATAACAGATCAACCGGATACCTAAGCTTGACTTTGTTCAAAAGTAAGAGTACCTCAACTGTGTGCACTGACCACTGTGCTTTTGAACAGGATGCTTCCATAGAAAAACCATGCTTCTTAAAAATAGAGAAAAAAAGAGAGAAAAAACTATTTTATTTCAATTTGTATACTTTAGTCAGGAGTCATGAATACTCTCCACATGTATATTCTCCATGGGCTTTGTTATTATTGGGTCTGCTGATAAAATGCATTCTTCTAGTATGCAGGAGTAATTCAGTGTCGATAGCCTTCTTAAACCATTTCATAGTTCTAATTCCAAGTAAAGAATGACACAGATACTTATCACAGGACTGAAAATACAGGCTGCAGATTTATATGTTATGTATCCAGCAGCCAGGTATGCTCAGCATTCAGTGAATATTGATAGGACATGATCTCCTGGCTGATCCTTGGGGAAGCTCAGACTTATAAAAATGTCATTTTCCTCCTTTTCCCAAAGTCAGTTTTCCATAAGATATGCTTTCTTTCCTGGGACAAAATTTAACTCATCAACTTGTATGGGGACAGCCCCCATCCAACTTGTATTTGTGCAAACCAAAACAAAATTTATTTTACAAATTCAGGGATGTATCTCAGTTTGTCACATCAGGCAAGAGAGTTATTCAGTCCTTTCTAGCAACACTGCAGATACACATTTTCCTAAAGTTTACATTCCATCTTTTACCAAATAGTGCAATTCGAATGTGTTAGAATGTGGTCTAGATATGTTGATGAAGGAGAACCTGATAGGTCCTTTCACTGTCTGCAAAGGGCAGGGGACTGAGCAGAACCTGTGTTCTGCTTGCAGGTCTGGAGAAAGGAGATTTACTCATTCTCTAAAGCATCTCGGCATACTAGATAGAATTCATCTTTTTATCTGCCTCTAGCTGTAGGAGCACTAAAAGACTGAAACCACAAAAAAGAGAGGCTCAGAATCAGAATCTTTTGCATTTTTTCCTTGTACATGTCGATACTAGTAGCCTATAACAGTCAAAACAAGCACTGGCTTAAGTATGCACAGTGCAGGTGCTGGTTGACTGCCCATTCAAGTATCTACTCACCCTATCAAAACAAGCACTGGCTTAAGTATGCACAGTGCAGGTGCTGGTTGACTGCCCATTCAAGTATCTACTCACCATGTTCAAACCATGCTTTTCTTTTTTTTTTTATAAAGCCTTAACCTCGGACAAGTGTAGGTGCATCCCTGAAATAAAGACAGCTGCCTTCTCATTATGTACTTCAAGATCTTGATTCAAAACTTAGGTGCTCTGGAAATTCTCCAAGCTGTGGCTGCAGGAGCTATTTTCACGTGGATAGATAAATGTATTTTGCCTCACTTCTTGCTCTGACAGACGTGCATCCAGCTAGCAAAATCCCAGTCTTTAATCTTGAAATCTACAGACTTACAGTGTCCAAACACTGTCTGCAACTATTTTACTGAGAAATAATGGAAAGTGTTACTGTGACCTAAAAAGGCTGTTGAATGTAGAATGGAATAGACATCACCATTCAGTGACGCGTGCACTCAGTGAAGGCCCTCATTTAAAATTGTTGGGCAAGATTTCAATATGGTGATGGTGAAGTCTTAATGAAGAAAAGAAAATTTAACCAATCACTGGTAGGAATATGTGAAGAACTGACTTTTTTTGATCTAGTTTCTGTAAGTTTAAAAAAAAAAAAGCATCTCAAAACAAATTGAAAACAAACACGCTTCACTTTATGTAATTTTGACAACAAACAGGAGATGAATAGTTGGATTTTAACCAAAATTAGCAGATGATGTATTAAAGCAGAGGTGATACAGTTTGTCTGGTTTACTGTCATAGTGTAACAGTAAAGATACTCCTGCAGGATGCAAGAGATTTTTTAATTCTGCACACCCCCCTATCACTGTTCTTCCCCTTAGCAGGAATGCATTGGTATTTTATACAAACAGCACAGCTCCAACAGAGAGAAGTCTGTGTCTAAATGCACTTTAGTCGAGTGATTCAGGCACTCCCCAAGGAAAAGCAAGAATCAAACCCGTGCACTGTGCCTGGGTTTGACTCATCATCAGGTTCAGGCGGACAGTTAAAGATTACCACATTTACCTATTTGCCTTTACCAGACTTCAGCGTAATGGGGTGGAAGCAACAGTAGCCTCGTTTCTTTATTCTCCACATGTTTATGAATGCCTGTACCCCTCTCTGGCCTGGAAGAAATTAAACAAATCTTTTGCTAATGCGGTCAAATTTTGCAACTATTTTTTGTCTCAGCCAAATCCAACTTTTTTTGATGAATACTTGGACGTCCCCAAAAAGAACTAATAATCCTGTATTGGTATAAAAGCTGTTATCACTTAGGCTGTCTAAGAAAATGAAAAGTAGATATGTCCTTGCATGGGACTATGGTTGCCTGGTACTTTGAATACAAGTACCTCTCAGAGTAACAGTCAACTAAAAATCATTATATGTGTATTTGTGTGAGGCTGAAATATGAATTCTGCCCAGAAACTATACTCCAAATTATGTTTGTCTTGGAAATTCTGGAGATATGAGTGCAGTCTAGGTGATGATTTTACTCTTTCTGGCTTTAGTTCTGTGTCTAATACTGCAGTAGACTCCAGAAAAATAACTCACTTGTTGTTCTGTGTACGATATGCTGCCTTAGCAAATGAAAGTGGATGGAGTTAAAAGTTGGGAAAATTTCACAGGGGCTCAAATTTCAAGAGACAGAATACTTGCAATGAGAAAATTTACTTCGCTAGAATTCTCTCTATTCACTTTCCTGCCTTGAAGACATGTGGATGAGTTGTTTCCTTTGCTGTTCGCTGCCTGCTTTCTGTCTGCACAGTCTTTCTGTGGAGTTACAATCCTCTGTGAAAGTCATTAGCGTGCTGTCTTGCAAGTGTCCTGTGAGGTCTCCAAATCATTTTGCTGAGTCTCTGTCACGAGGGGTAGGATGAACCATAAAGGTAGCATAGACCTCAGTGACACCTTTGATGACCAGTAAGTGGCAAACAAAATGATGAGAAAGAAAATTAAATTATGTTTAAGTAGCATATATTGGTTTTGGCAGCCTACTGAAGCATGAACTTCCCCTTTAAACTATCAGTATGCTGTTTTGAGTTGCTTTAATGGTATTTTTAATGTAGTATTTTGTGTAAATTAATAATTCAATACTCAAAGCCAGGAACTGACAGGCTACTGCTAACCGCCTCTTCTCCTAGTTTTAAAAGGCTGAAGACACAAACTGGATGTCTGTTATCTTCACAGGAGAAGCTTGCATAGTTTCCCTAAGTGGAAGGCAATTAATGCATACTGGTTGTGTAATTGTCAATTTTCTATTGCTCTGTGGAGGCTATTTTTTTTTTCTTTTCCACAATAAGCTGTTTTTCTCTACCCAGTATGACAGTAATGAAAAACAGTCATGTCCTGTTCTATTTTTTAAAACATTTATGATAAATGGGCTTAAGCGTGTTAGTGTTGAACCTGCACTTGTTAGAAGAATTTGCTGACAAAGAGTCTGAAAGTCAAATGAAGAACAGAAAATACCAAAGGTCAGTAGGAGTCAGACCTCAGAGTTAATGATGCTTTTGATAAAATAAACCCTGTAAAAACAGGTATGAAACAGGCTATCGTGACAATTATCATTCTTTAAAGTTCTCTTGTGTAGTTATTGTGAAATGATCTAATCCATTGGCAGCAGACATACTATGTTCCATTCCCCTGTAGGAAAAAAGGATCTAATATTCTGATTGATAGAATTTGAGAGACAATAAATATTGTTTACTGATGGGCATGAAGGTAATTGGTATCAACTGTCTATGTGGCTGGTTTGGGACAGTTTTATGATTTTCTTGTGGGGGGCATGACTTCACTTTCAGAATTTTTATAATGTATTACATGATATTTTTTTCTTCTTTTTTTGCTTCTCCTTCTGGACTCTTTTTTGTTATTCAGAGTATACTGCTATGCTAAATGTTTAAAAACTTCCTAATTTAATTTCACATTTCCATTGCTTATTAACTTTTTATTATATAATAGCTATTAACTTTGACGGTTATTGCTCTTCTCCAGTGTTTCCTATCTCTATCCTGTGATGTACTATGTGCATTTCCAGTTTTCAGGCACTGCTATATTTCCTTTGATGATAAATCACAGGTAAAGAACACCTAGAGAGATCTTGATCATGCACTTAACAGTTCTAAAACACTTTTTAAATGTACAGAAGAGTGTTTTTCATGTTGTCTAAGGACTTCAAGTGAGAAAATGCTTCTGCTTTACACGATCTTAGTGGCAAACAAAATTTTGGATTTTTTTTTTCTGGGTATACTTTTGTGAAACCAGGCTAATCTCTGTCATGATGTGATTTTTTTCTTTTGCTATTGAGATAATACTGGAAGTGTGTGAATACCTTTCCTTGTAAGTGCACACGGCACGTTACGTGCTATATGTGTAGTTCCTTTTACTTAGCCACA